GCCATCTAAGATGCATCAATTGGTCCCAACCACCTGGAGTAAAGGAGATTGAAGAACACCAAAGACACAAGGAAAATATTAGCCCAAGAGACAGAAAGGTCCACATAAAGCAGAGACTTCATCAGCCTGAGAACAGAAAAACTAGATGGTGCCTGGCTACCACCAATGACCACCCTGACAGGGAACACAACAGAGAGTCCTTGATGGAGCAGCAGAAAGACGGGGTCCAGAACTCAGATTCTAGTAAGAAGACCAGACTTAATGGTCTGACTGTGTCTGGAGGTACCCTGGAAAGCATGGCCCCTGGATTCTCTATCAGCCCAGAACTATAACAATTCCCAAGGCCAACTCTTCAGACAGTGACTGGACTGGACTGTGGGACATAAAGTGATACTTGTGAAGAGTGTGCCTCTTAGTCAAGTAGATACAAGAGACCATAGGGGCAGCTTCTGTCCAGAGGTGAGATGGGAAGGCAGAGAGGGTTAGGAGCTGGTTGAATGGACATGGGGAATCAGGGGCAGAAAGGAGGAGTGTGCTGTCGCAGAATGGGGTGAGCAATTAGGGTGACATAACAATGTATATATAAAATTTTGTATGGGAGACTAACTTCAAATGCAAACTTCATTTAAACTACAACAATAAATAAATAAAATAAGAAAATCTATACTCAAATGGTTTTGTGACATTGATTGCAATTCCCGCAATGTCTCAGCACTCTACCCCTTTCCCTTTACACCCTGGGTACCCTGCATCCATTCATCCAGTTTTCCTGTCCCTTCCTGCCTTTTCGTCTTTGCTTTGGGGCAGGAGTTGCCCATTTGGTCTCATATACTTGACTGAACTAAGAAGCACGTTCCTCACGTGTGTTACTGTTTGTTTTATAGGCCTGTCTAATCTTTGGCTGAAAGGTGGACTTCGAGAATGGCTTCAGTTCTGAGTTAGCAGAGTGTCTGGGGGCCATAGTCTCAGAGGTTCCTCCAATCTCTGTCAGACCAGTAAGCTGGTCTTTTTTTGTGAATTTGAATTTTGTTCTACATTTTTCTCCTGCTCTGTCCAGGACCTCTATTGTCAGAGCAGTTGGTGGTGGTAGCTGGGCACCATCTAGTTCTTCTGGGCTCAGGCTGGTAGAGGCTCTGGTTCACGTGGGCCATTAGTCCTTTGGACTAATAGTTTCCTCGTGTCTTTGGTTTTCTTCATTCTCCTTTGCTTCGGACAGGATGAGACCAATAGATGTATCTCAGATGGCTTCTCACAAGCTTTTTTTTTTTTTAATTTATTTTTATTGTACTTTAGATAAAGGTTTACAGAACAAAGTAGTTTCTCATTAAACTGTTAGTACACATATTGTTTTATGACAATGGTTAACAACCCCACAACATGTCAACACTGTCCCTTCTCAACCTTGGGTTGCCTATTACCAGCTTTCCTGTCCCCTCCTGCCTTCTAGTCCTTATCCTTGGACTGTTGTGCCCCATTAGTCTCGTTTTGTTTTATGGGGCCATCTAATCTTTGGCTGAAGGGTGAACCTCAGGAGTGACTTCATTACTGATGCTCACAAGCTTTTAAGACCCCAGACGCTACTCACCAAAGTAGGATGTAGAACATTTTCTTTATGAACTATGTTATGCCAATTAACCTAAATGTCCCCTGAAACCATGGTTCCCAGCCCTCAGCCCCAAAAACTCAGTTCTTCAAGGTATTTGGATGTGTCTAGGAAGCTTCTATGACTTTGCCTTGGCCAAGTTGTGCTGACTTCCCCTATATTGTGTGTGGTCTTTCCCTTCACCAAAGTTAACACTTGTCTGCTATCTAGTTAGTGATTTTCCCTCCCCTCCCACCTCGTAACCATCAAAGGTTGTTTTTCTTTCTGTGTGTAAACCTTTTCTTTGGTTTTTAGAATAGTGGTCTCATACACTATTTGTCATTTTGTGATTGACTTATTTCACTCAGCATAGTGCCCTCCAGATTCATCCATGTTTCACGGGTTTATCATTGTTCTTCATTGTTATGTAGTATGCCATTGTGTGTATGTGCCATAATTTGTTTATCCATTCATCTGTTGATGGACACTTAGGTTGTTTCCATCTTTCTGCTATTGCAAATATTGCTGCAATGAACATGGGTGTGCATATGTCTATTCATGCAACAGCTCTTATTTCTCTAGGACATATTCCTAGGAGTGTGATTGCTGAATAGTATGTGTTTCTACTTCCAGCTTTTTAAGGATGCACCGTATCATTTTCCATAGTGGTTGTACCATTTTACATTCCCACCAGCCTAAGGGTTGCAGTCTCCCTGTAATATCCCCAGCATTTGTTATTTTCAGTTTTTTTGATCAGTGCCAGTAATGTTGGTGTGAGATGGTATCTCCTAGTAGTTTTGATTTACATTTCTCTAATGGCTAGTGATCATGAGCACTTCCTCATGTGTCTGTTAGCTGCCTGAATATCTTCTTTGAGGAAGTGTCTGTTCACATCCTTTTCCCATTCTTTAATTGGATTATTTGTCTTTTTATTGTTAGACCCTTGTTGGATATGTCATAGCCAAAAATTTTTTACCCAGTCTGTAGGTTCTCTTTTTACTCTTTTGGTAAAGTCTTTTGATGAGCATAAATGTTTGATTTTTAGGAGCTCCTAATAATGTAGTTTATCTCCGGTATTTGTGGATTGTTAGTTACGGTTTGTGTTGTATTTATGCCATGTATTAGGGCCCCTAGCATTGACCCTATTTTTCCTTCCATCATCTTTGAAGTTTTAGGTTTTATATTTAGGTCTTTGATCCATTTTAATTTTCGCATATGGTGTGAGGTATGGGTTTTGTTTCATTTTTCTACAGATGGGCATCCAGTTTTGCCAGCACTGTCTGTTAAAAAGACTGTCCTTTTCCCCCATTTAATGGACTTTGGTCCTTTGTCAAAGATTAGCTGACTACAGACAGATGGATTTACGTCTAGGTTCTTGATTCTGTTCCATTGGTCTATGTGTCTGTCATTGTACCAGTACCAGGCTATTTTGACTACCGTGCTGTATAGTAGAATCTGAGATCAGGTAGTCTGAGGCCTGCTACTTTGTTCTTTTTTTTT